CCCCCCCCCCCCCCTTCCCCCCCCGCCAGCGAAGGTCCCTTCTGTGTGAAATATAAGTACAAAAAGGAAAGAATGCCTTAGTTAAGTTAATAGTGTTTAAGTATTCCCATGAGCAAACTTTGTCTAGCAGAAGAAATATATTTAAAAATTGTTTGTATAAAAACGCTAAAAACCAAGGCCCAGAGGCTCAAAAATACAAGACCCCAAACCCGCTTACACGTTCTAGTTTTTCTGCTCAGCAACTCCAAGTTAGAACCTTTTTCGCCCCTTTCACTGACAAATTCTTAATTCAAATTCTGCTGTATCTTCACCTCATTGACATGTTAGAAAGTACTTGTAATTTGATTCCACAAAACGCTACGGGTTTTCTCCAGGAGCACATATTCCTGTTTTCTCATGCAGTTACATTTGAGCCCAGTAAAACATGTCTCTATACTGTATACCCCTCCCAAGAAAGAGAACTTTTTAGGAATAACACTGGAAATTTTTCCCAAATCCTGACTGTGGAAATAGTATGGAACTTAGTTGAAAATGGTATGGAAATCCAATTTTCATACAAATCGCAATTTCCATGTACTATGGAAATAGTATGGAAATAGTATGGATTAGTATGGAAATAGTATGGATATACTATGGATCTAGTGATTAAACCAGACAAATGCATCTCGAGGAAACAGAGTAACTAACCATTGCTATTGCAACCGAGCCATAAGCGAGCCCACTGAATTTTTAATGTGAATTTGTAAATCAGCAATATCAGCGTGGTTACCCAAAAATCTGTTGAAAAGGAAAACGATTCTCTATAAGCATCATAGTTCATCATTCATCACGACATTGCCACGCAAAATATTACACTGTATAGGAGGGCCATATAACATAAGCATTTTGTTTTGCATGGTTATATTTCAGAAATTTTCCAAGTGTAACATTGGGCAACAGCTCAACCACACAGACAGAACTGGGCGAGTGAAATTGCTGATTTGTACAGAAAAAATTAAAGGCGTTCCTCAATGGAGATTTGTTGACGGTAAAGCTACATTCGTTTAATATGACTGAAACTGTTCTATGCGAATTTACATGGGCTGTGAATGCTTGACACGATCAGTTTAATCTTTTTTTATTTCCTGTAAAGAACTATACATGCACGTAAAAAATCTATGCCATTTCAGAAGCAATGCTCGAGGCCTTTTTATGTGTATACGTTGTAACGTAGACCTTTGTGAGCTTTAATGAAAGCAAGTATTTCTTTGGAATATAAGTAAGCAGATTCAGTGTGTAACCTTAGTATCTTATCACAGGTTCTCCGACATTGGGTGAAATATTCAGCCCAGCTCGAGATTGTACTGATATTGTCGATCAATTACCCGAAGCTGAGGATGGATTTTACTGGATTGTTCTGCCCAAAGGAACGAAGCACAAGGTATGTGTCTGGATTATGACATGTCCACCAATAGCCTTCTTGCGCCGTGGGATGCCTTCCCACCAGTTAATAAAAGAGATGTAAACTAAGGTTATTGACCGCGGGCGCAATATGATTCGGGAAAATGTGCACTTGCGTTTGGTATATACTTTGGTTTTCGTCCTCCTTTCCCTACTGTGCTAACATTAACCAAAAATTAAATTTAAATGTAATAGCATTGGTTGTATAAAGAAAACACAGCTGTGCTGAATTTCAAGGGATGCACCTCAAATATTGTGACTCTATTGGACATGAGCCTCTTGCGGCTTATATAAAACCTGTAGAAAAAGAGAATTAACGAATCTTCTTACCCAAGTTCCAAAAATGTACATTATGTTGACCATCAGCATGTCCATATACATACGAAAATCCGGCATGCTCATGAACATGCTCATATACGCTACATGCCAAAATCCGGTATGTTTATGATCATATTATATACATACCAAAGTCCGATATGCTCATGAGCATGTTCATATGCTACATTCCAAAATCCGATATGCTCATGAACATGCTCAGTGAAATGAATATAACTGGAACGCTACCTCAAACCTGAATATGAAGCCAAACTTGAAAGCCAGTCCCAGTCTTTTCACGCATACGAAGAGCGTGGTCAATCCGTCAACATGAATATGTATTCTTGAAAACCGGATTAAAATTTACGGTCAAAGCTTTCTGTTTTACTTTTTTCTTACAATTGTTTATTGAAAGAGCATTTTTCTGCGATAAAAGTTGTGCTTCGAGAAAATCGCGAGACACAAACACGCGTGTCTTGATCCCCAGACACCCGTGTCTAGGAGACAGATTTGGCTTCAATAAAAAGGCAGTTCTATATCTATCTGGAGTAAGAATTCGCGTCCAAAAAGTGCAGCCAAAGATGGCATGCAGAAATTGACGTCCAGTTCCAGTCCCTCTCCATTGTTCTGGAACTTCGACTTAGCGAAAGCGGTCACAGAATTCTGAAAAGTATTGGAGAAGGAAACGTAATTTAACAAGCCTTTAAGAAATATAAGTAATTCAGCATATTATTAATAACACAACAATTAAGATCACATATGCAGTGTAATAATTACTTGGGAGTGAAGAATTTAAGTTGTCATTTCCTTGGGCAAAATAGATTTGGTGTGACGTACATACAGACGGTGGTGGATTTGCGTTGGTTGGAATGAAGGATAGTCCTGTATCTTGGACAGTACCATCTAATTCTAGCCCTGTAGATCCTCAAGGACCCCCACATTGGTCCAGTGATCTTGGTGATGTCAAAGTTCTGGACTTTAGAGTTCAATTTTCAACTGATAAAGGTTTTGAAGGAACAAAGGCAGACTGGTAAGAAAGCTTTGGTGCGGACCGCTAAAAATATTTCCATAAGACTTCCTAAACTAAAATAAACCTCAAGAGTAATAACAACAAAACGACAAAAAGTGAAAAAGTTGCAGGAAACAATATCAAACAATACAGGAAACCAAGAAAATAAACATCAATATTTGGTATAGAAACTGCAAAGGGCATTGAGGACACCCCCTCAACACAAAACAAGGGAAAAGTATGCGCTTTCTAAACAGTTTCTTCAAGATGCACTTCCTTTTGATTTGATTTGCTTTCCACCCTTCGTATATTAGGCCGTGGGCTGTTGGCCAAAATTGTTTCGCTTCGTGGCACCCATGTGGGAAATACTTGGTTTGGGGTTTTGTTTGAAAGGCATATAGGTACATCACTACCAAAAAAATTTCCCAAGCAAAAAAGTTGCCCAATCCCGAGAAAATGGGTGATCAATGATTATCCTCTATTAAATTGTATTACAGCAAAAAAGTGGGGAATTCTGTATTCAATTACAATAAAAATGACTTGCATCATCGGAAAACGTACAAAAAACCGCATATAAGACTTTTAAACAGTTTTTTGATTTTTCAAATAGTCTTTGAGTTATCGTTGTTTTAAATGTGAAAATTGGACCAAAATGTCGCAATAAGGACTGGGTACTAGGTCAAAAACGCTTTTTTGACAGCGTATAACTCGAAAACAATTTTAGATATAAGAAAACTGTTTAAATGTCTTATATGTAGGTTTTTGTAAGCATTCTGAAAATGCAAGTCATTTTTGTTGTAATTGAATACAAAATTTTACATTTTCTTGCTGTAATACAATTTAATAGAGGATAATCGCTGATCACCCATTTTCTCGGTGTTGGGCAAGTTTTTTGCTTGGGAACTTTTTGTGGTAATTAAGCATCTATGGTTCTATGAATTGAACGACAGAAAATCTATTTCCCAGGAGGGTGCCACAAAATTGCTTTTCTAGGCACTTTTTCGCACAACAGCCCACGGCCTATACGGAAAGTCCTGCAAGTAGGAGAAAAACGCGAGTGCTGTGAAAATTGCAAAAGTAAAAGATTTCCTTTTTAACTGTAGGTTTTACCGATTACATCCGGAACGGAAGTTTGGAAATCTATTTTCTGTGAACAACGGATGTCCGTATCTGCAAGCTGGAATTGGAAATATTCCATTTGTCAAGGATCTCTCGACGCAGTCTGTCCTTACTAATAATTTCAAGTGCTCAAAGTTTGGACAACATGTACATCATATGTTAGGATGGGTATGCAGCTGTTTTTAAGTAAAATAATATTATACATGGTGTCCCAAAAGAATGGCTCCCACTGTATTTTGCGGTATTACAACATCCGCTTAAGTAAATTAAAAGTTTCAGATTTCTTTTATCGATGATATAACTATCATGTTCAATCATATTGTTTCAATCTATTTGATTTGTAGACGGAAATTTTGAGTGGAATTTTTCAACATGAGCTCAACCTTTGAATTTACTATATGAGTAAATTCTTAACCACGTCCGAATTTATCATTATGATAAATTCGCGGCACATTTTGAATTTATCAATAGAGTTAATCATAAAACCACAAGCATTACACAAGATTTCTTGTTATAAATCTAATGGCACTAAAAGGGAGGCTGGTCGTGCGGGCGCGGGTAGGGTTTCAAGTTTTTTTAAAAAAGCAGTTTTTAAAAAAGTTTTAAAAAGTTTTAAAAGAGTTTTGAAGAGCAAGAAAAGTTTAAAAAGTTAGATTTTTAAAAAAGTTAAAAAAATTTAAAAAGTTAAAAAAATTAGGGGTTAGGGGTTATGGGTTAGTGCTAGGTGCCGCGAATTTATTATGATAAATTCAAAATTTGCCGCGAATTTATCATAATGATAAATTCGGACGTGTTTAAGAATTTACTCATATAGTAAATTCAAAGGTGGAGCTCATGCTGGAATTTTTATACATTTAGTAGACCTAACCAGGA